TACAGCACACTTCACTACAAGCCCTACGGGCCGTTCGTCTATTTGAGCTAAGAGGAGAGGGGATAATTGTTGTTGCTAAGGAGAATAAGTTCTCTACCCTTTACAATGAAATAAGTGCTACTATTTATACTACCAAGGCCGGGTTGATGATGTGGAGGATTGTGGATGGCTAGCTTCCCAACCACAAAATCTACTGCATTGAATGCGTTTCCCGCCAATATCTTAGTTTCCCGCCAAGGGCCCTGGACGAGCGTCCCCCAATCTTGGATGCTGGATTCAGATGAGTGTAAGGGCGGCGCTCCGCTCGGCTTATGTGGACTCCAGCTGAAGGTCATGGTGTATCATCTGGCCACCAATGAGGCCCAACATCATCGAGGCCCGGACGTGCGTCTGACCAGTACTCTTGCCGGACCGTACCCATATTGGACCTTGATGGTTTCCTTGCTTAGGGGTAATGTGCCATCCGCTATCGGGCCTATTAATCCAACACAAGTCCCCCACTTCTGATGTTCCGAGCGTGCGCGGGACATCAAGAAGTATACATATTTCCCGAGCCGAGCCTCCTTGATGACTTCGATGTGACATGTCATTTGAGGGTTCTCAAAACCCCATATGACGGTTATGACGACTGGTTCAACTTTCAAGGTGAGCGTAATCATCAAGTGTATTGAGCTCCGCGCGGCACGTGTCCTGGGGTACGCTCCTTACCACGTGTCGTGTTCTGACTGCTCCGCAGGGTGGATAACGCGTGAATTGATTTGCTTTGCTTAAAGCGTTAATCGATGAAAACTGTCATCATTCCCACAGTGTTTGTGAATCATCTGGGTTGGGCCATACTCGACCAACACAAATGTACTTCAGCTAAATTGGGCTGAGATCGTACAAATAAACAATTAGCTTCCTGGACATATCCCAGATTTTTTTGAATAAAAAAGTGAGTAGTTTTCCTTTTTTGGAAGACATGATTAACCTTTTATTCAATTAATATGATTTTTCCCATCGAAATTTATATCCAATATCTACCCTAACCCTCACCCCATATTTGATTGTTACAATGATATGTTTCATGACGATAATGACATTTGTGACGATGACAGTGACATATGTTATGACATACAAATGTGGCAGTGATATCAAAATTTGCCAAACTTATTACCTTTTTAGGTTGAACGGGCAGCCTGTCCTCTTCGGCAGCCCTATAACTAAACAACTCCTATATCGAAATTTCGGTTCATGGTACCATGGTATCAACGGTACCATGAATTCTACCATTGATGGGCTTTATTTTTAATTCGTTCTTGGGCCATGACTGTGATCCATGGTACCATCTCTTTATGATCCTTCTACTAAGTTTTTTATTTATTTATATTTTTCAAACTTCATAGATTTGGAATTGAGTGACGATGAGATCAGGAACTTTGCTCTACTTGAGATTTAAAGGCTCTTGCGTAGTAGAGGAAAGTGCCTTCGAGATTTCCCCTCAATCTCATATCCTAAAGATTACTCTTTCTTAGCACGAAAAATTCCCTAATCAACGATGAGTTGCGTTATGACAAGATATGCATGACTGAGTAACATTCAAACTTGGTAAGCCGGTTGACAGATAAACAAAAATGTGTTTATGAAACATAATTTCAGAAATACGAGTCTGACATTTCAATATGGTAATTATTTCAGGGACTAAAAGTATGATTTTCCCTTTATTTAACTTACTTCTTGATTGAATTTTAAGCTTAATTTTGTGGAAATAATCTAAACTTAATGAAGAATATGCTCACAAAATTTCATCAAAAACACCTCTCGGACACACCTCAAATGGAGGTGGCTAGACAATATTCCGGTTCGAAAATTCCTGATGAGATTTTTTGTGTATAATATACGGAGTAATACTTAAGATGTCCTTAGGCATACTTTTATATATACCATGTGGCACAATCTTCTACTCATGCTTACACTTTAAGGAAAGCATTTTCTTTTTTATTATGATTATTAAATTTCGTAAATATTAGGAGGACATATCAATAAAAACAATGAATACTAAAAATCCCAAAATATATGTTGTTGAAGTTATGATCTTTTTTGTTTTTAAACGTTCAAGTTATGATGTTTTTAATTAGACTAAAAAATTATGGCTTGTTATTATCTGGATGGCCTGATCTATTTTAGTTTGATCGGATAAAGTTTTGTTTTATGTGTATTTTACTATTATCTAAGACTGATCAGGTTCGGTCCACATGATTCTGACCTAATCCGGTTTGTTAGTTTACTTTTGCACTTTAGAGCATCCTCGTTCATGCTATCCAAATAAATGGATTTTTTAGTACACATAATTGCCACATCATTCTTACGAAAATGATCTCAAAACTAAAATTATTCTTCAACAATGATTTTTTCTTCAACAATGATATTCATATAACTAGTTTTTTATATGATATGCATTAAATGCATTTTAACTATAATATACAATTATCCGGGATTTGAATCTTGAAATCGGATTTTCTTTTTGAATAATCCTCCTAAAAATCATTTTCCCTCAATGTTAATCTTTGAAATAATCTGACACGTCATCTAAACAATCTTCAAATAAACTAACCAATGGTGATGCCCTTATAAGTTTTTGTTTTGTTTTATGTATAATAAGTTTTGAAATTGATGAAAAACATGGGATTACAAAATCAATCTGGTGTTCATTCAACAACAGATTTGCAAAGTTTTACTGACTAGATCTTGAGTCTTGGGAACGGAACACTCGGTGATGATGAAGAAGGACATGGAACTATTGAAATTCTTGAAGATCTTTTGACAAATAGCTCGACAGACCCTATTGATTCAATAGTAGATACTCCCTCCGTCCCACTTTAAAGTTCCCACACGATTTACGATGTTTGACTGACCATAAAGTTAACTGATCTCTGTCATTAATAGAATCATTTTTAGTAAATAAAATTTACATATTCAGAAACTACATTAAAACCGCTACAAAACTTGTAAAAAATAATTTAAATTTCATAAACTTTCGATATATTAAGTAAAAGATTAAGAACAATGCACGTTGACTGAAGAATAGTGTACGGGAACCTTTAAATGGGACGGAAGGAGTATTATACATCCCAATTTTAGATCGCATTTCGGAGACCCGACTTATTTAGATGGAAGAGCAATACCTTCACCTACACTTTCTTTTGTCAACATGGTTAACGATTACATGGTTTCAAAAGATTAATCAAATGTGCAATCCTACCTCAGCTGTGGTGGAATTTGCCAATCTGATTAAGATGATCAGTTGCTTGGTGAACTTCACACACTAGAATTTGTAAATGGAATTAGATGCTCGGGAGTTCCTAACTATGAATTAAAACTAAATATTGGTATCCCATTAATGTTGATGAGAAACATTGACTAGTCTTTTGGACTCCGCAATGGTAACAACTACCAAATTAATGATTTTACACAAAGTGCTAAAAAAACTGTATAAATAGAATCATGCATCTATGCTCATGAAAATAAGGAAAAAAAAAGTTTTTAATGAATAAAGGTAAAATAATTAATAGTGCAACAAACATTGCAAGTCTCTCATTAGACATTATAAAGGTAACAAAGATGACACTTTTGATTATACTTAAATTAAAACTATGTGCTTTTCTTAAAAAACTACTACTATGTGCTAACTATGCAAAATTTTATCGTGAGATCTATATTCATAGTTATCATGTAGGCATTCTTATCATGTATCAAGTACATTGGTTAATGCCTTTTCATATTTTTTTAAATTGGAGAAATAATTTTTCTTTTTGTCTATGGCTATGCCTTGAAAAAATCATCTTAGAATGTCACAAATATATCATTTTATTTAAAATCTCATGTTGATATTTATACTAATTTTGTCCATAACTATGTTACAATAAGGCTATTGAGACCAAAAAGTCAGTGGACGATGATTAGTAGCTTACCTACTATTATGTGTATTGGACGATTACAGTTTTCTGACTAGATTTGATTTTTTTTTTAGTTTGATCATTAACTTTTACGTTCCTAATATTCAAGAATTTGTCTTTTTTTGCAACTAAGAATTTCTCTTTCAATTAATAACACCTACTATGTGTTAGTCCTAAAAAACTTGGAAACCGGAGTCGAGAGCTTCTCTCTCTAAAATCTTCGGCGCTCTCTAGGGTTATGGCTGCTGGGGTTTCAAATTCCGATTTCGTTTTTACGAAGATCGGTGCTTATCGGAGTGGTGAAGGCGAATGAAGGCAGATGACTGGGTTCTCGTTTCGGCAGTCTCAATCGCGGCTTGAACTCAAATGAACAGAAGGAGCAGGGTTTGGTCTCGACTGGGACTCAGGCGAACAGACGGAGCAGGATTGATGGCCAAAGGTTGTGTATCGCTAGTGCAGGTAGAGAGGTTCGAGAATGTCGTTCATGGTGGAGATCAAAAAGTCATGGACAAAGCGTGGGGCTAGGGGTTGGATCAGATCTAGTTCGGAGGCAAAGAGCGGAAGATGTTTCAGTACTGTTCGACCGTCCCCCTCCTGAACCACGGCCATGGAGTGCAGGAGAGTCTTGGGGGTTTGGAAGCAGTATTTTAATTTTATTATTTATTTGCTATTTAATTTCCATGGTCAGACTGTTTTGTTTTACTTTTATTGTTTCTTTTGCTGTAAGACTCTTGCATTAGGTTTGGGGATGGAAGTTCTGCGTTAACCGTCATTGGCTTTAAGTTGCTCAAATTTGGTCTAGTGAGTTATACTGCTTTTGTACAAGTGGTTAACTCTCAGTCTCGGTCAAGGGCGGATGGTTACATGTGGTTCTTTTATGTTTCTGTACTCTTGCTAAATGCTATTCCTATAAATTAAGCCCTCTTCGAGCAAAAAAACACCTACTATTTGTTTATCCGTTCATATTAATGTTAATTAATGGTTAAACTATTATGATACAGTGACCGAAAGCAATTGAATACGATAAATAGTGTGACACATAAACTTTTAATTTGATAGTCGTGTGAAAGACTAGTTTATTGACTTACTGTCTCGTCGTTGTTTGAGAGAAACGTTTCTGTTCAGTTAACTTCATCTCTTACGCAACATGCCTGGCCCAAACATCCAATGAAGTAATTAATCATCCACGAAGTCAAGCTTTGCCGTTAAGTTGGCATATGGTAGCCGCATCGACCTGAAAACGACGGGAAATGGCTTTCACCATGCATTCTGACGTTCGATCGGCGATTCAAATCGCTTCCCGTTTCCGCCGCCGAGGCGGTCAACCCCGTCGCCTGTTATTTCCAATTTCGATTGCCTTTGGCTCTCGATTCGGTGGTTCTGTAGCGGCGGTGGATGCGAGTGCAAAGGCAAGAGCTTTCTCCACGGGTAATTCCGGAAAGGATGAATTAGAGAGCGTAGAGGCTAAAAAGATGTCGGAGAAGCCGTCGATATGCACCGCCGATGAGCTCCATTACGTCTCTGCTAACAATTCTCCTTGGAGGCTCGCTCTCTGGCGCTATGTTCCTCCTCCAGAGGTTTAGTTCGTCATTTAAAAGTCCTTTTATGAAATCTTTACATCATATAGGCTTGCAATTAAGTTCGTGTTCTTAGAAACTTTAGCTGTTTCTTCGGTGATACTGAATTGCGTTATCTGTTATTTGGATTATGCTGGGAATAGGCTCCGAAGAGGAATCATCCACTTCTGCTGCTATCAGGTGTAGGAACTAATGCTATTGGATATGATCTTTCTCCTGGGGTCAGTGTTCCACGTTATTTTGCCCCTTCAATCCCCTGTTTTTCATATTGATGCTGGTCATTTGGAGGGTGGCAGTATATTATGCATCTGGATGTTTGCATGACAGGTCAATGAGCATTCTTTAAAAAGAATATGAACAATTTCTATATGAAAATGTAGGTTCTTGAGAAGAATAATACACGAACACAAAAGAAGAATAATGAAAGAACAAAAATCACACGAACACAATAATACAAGAAAATGTCACCTACATATGGATGTATGATATACGGAGTAATTATCAAATTGGTGGGGAAACTAGGGGTGTTTATAGATAATAGTGTCCACCGGGAGGGCAAGCTAGTACATGTTAATTCAATGGATTGGTTTTTTGCTGTTAAATCACTTGTGTACTTGCTGCATTCTGCCAAGATTCCTTATATGGTATGCACCTTGTAATTCATTTCTTCATTCTGGAAATAGTCTGGTATTGCTGCTGCAATGATAAAACAGAGAAATAGTGCATAAATTCTTCTCCCTTTAATAAATTTTTTATTATCTTACTAGTCATTTTATATCTTTACCCCCCTGATCATCTAGCATACAACAACATCCAAGCCTTTTTACCAAAGATTTTCAGTTGTGTGTTAGATAGAGCTGTTAAAATAGGGTTACTTCGGTGTATCTAAACACCATGTGTACATTGCAGTACATGCCTATAGGTCATATGTTATTAAGTATACTAAAGCTGGTGGTGGTAGTTGAAGATTGCAGTAGCCTTAGCAACATATTATGCTTAGCTGATTAAACCAGATTAAGTTCACACAATGTTATTGCCTTTCCATTAAGCCTTAAGATCTAGAGACTAAAAATTAGAGGGGCTTTAACTTTAGTTTACAGAGTTACAGGTTAGATAACACGACAAAATTTCTTTGAGTTGTGCTTAGAAATCATATACATAAAATGAAGAAAAAGCCTCATTTCCAAACCAATGAGTTCAGCAACATGAATTGAGAGTTAATTTTTCAGAACATGCACTTCTTTAAAGATGAGTTTTGCACTGCTATTTCCAAATGTTATCCTGCTTCACATCCAAGTAGATACAGCTTGTCGTGATATTTACTTTCCATGATGTGATTCTGCAGTCATCATTTGCTCGTCACATGTGTGGACAAGGGTTTGACACATGGATCCTTGAAGTAAGAGGAGCCGGACTTAGCGTGAATGAATCAGATTTCAAAAATATTGAGAATGCTTCTCATGAAATGTCTGAAGATATGAAGAGTGCCACTAGGAGTGCAAATGATGGGGATTTATCTGTAGCCAAGAATTCAAGAAGTGCCTACAGAAACTTAGAAGATTTTGACATAGCTTTGGTCAAAGAAGACTCAGTAGAAATCGGGACAGTCTTTGATGAGTCAAGATTAGTGAACCAGCTGACAGAAACATTCATGCGTTTGTCTGAAAGACTCTCCGGGTTTCTTAGTGAGAGTCAATCAAAGATTATTTCTGCTAAGTTAGTTGATCAAATATCTCGACTCTTACAAGATTCATTCCTATATGAGCGGTTCAATGAGATACGAAACAATTTACTCAGTTTGCTGGAAACAAGGCAAAACTCTGCTGCTGTAAGCCAAATTAGAGATCTAAGCCAGAGGATAGTAAATATCATTGACGAAGGTCAGCGTTCTGTGTCACCCCCCCTGTTTAATCTGCAAGAGCGTTTGGTCTCAACCATAGACGATTTCCAGAAACAACTAGATTTAATAGTCAAGTATGATTGGGACTTTGACAACTATCTGGAAGAGGATGTACCTGCTGCGGTGAGGTGACTTTTTTTTTTTTGTTTTTTTTGTAAAGGTACTGTTACATTCAGGGTTTTGGGATGACCATGTAATTCATAGACTACTTTAACTGACATTTTTGCTTTCCACTTGTGTACACTGTACATTTACTCAAACATTAGTGTTGTAGTACTAGCAGTTGATGCTGTTATTATAACCGTCATTATTATTTTTTAATCATATACTCTCCTTTCCTAATTAGTTGTCTCAGCAGGGATTCCCCGCTGTATATGTATAGGGGTTTGAAAAAGGAGGGTTTTTTGGTCTGTAGCAGTATGATACACTTTATTAAAGTGTAGTGTAGCTGCTTTTGGGATAGATTGTTTTTAGGAAAAGGAAGTGTGAGAATGTTTAGGAACAATATGAAAAGGAAAGTGAGATGGAATAGAGGGAGTAAATATGTATTGAATTGTTTCTACTACTGTAGTTTTTATCATAACCGTATAAATTGTCTTTTCAACTCTAGATGGAATATATAAGTGCCCAAACCAAACCAAAGGATGGCAGATTGCTTGCAATTGGACATTCCATGGGAGGAATCTTACTGTATGGAAGGTTATCACGATGTGGTAAGAGGACATCTTATCCAGTATATAAGATTCCTTCGGTGCTGCATAACATTTTCTTAATGAACAACTCATCATACAACGCCCTATGTGCTGAAATTTTATTTGTGAGTTTTGATTATGATGATTTGGACATGCTCTTTGTACATGATAATGGCAAGTAAACTCTATCTTTCTATTACATATTCCGCATAGATTTTGTCTGGTCTCTTATATTTTTATGTGCTTCTCAATTTTTTTAAACATGTCATTCAGTTCTTAGTCTTGGATAAGATGATTCAGATCATATTTTGAAACTATGAACTGATAGTCTTTGCAATGCTTCTTTTCTATATAGCTGCGGAAGGCAAAGATCCTGGATTAGCAGCTGTTGTAACTCTGGCATCGTCACTTGATTATACACCATCTAAATCTGCACTCAAACTGCTTATACCCCTTGTAAGTTGAGTGTGAGGTCTGTGTTAAAAAGCCCTTAATTTCTACACCTGTTCCAAAGCACAATTGGGTGTTGCGCTTCTCACCTTATTTCTTTTTCTCATTACTGGTTTTAATTTTGGTTGGACAAACTTAGACTAGAAACATTCAAACCTTACCAGACTAGAAAGATTTGGACCTGAACAGATTAGAAAGAAGATTTAGACAGACCAAAATTCAGACCAGACAAGAAAACTAGGCAAGCATAAACATTTGGATCATACCACAGACAAGAAACATCCGAAAGAGACCAGACCACAGTTTTTATGGAAATGATGACAGGTCCTTACTGCCCCCTGAATTGGTTACTTTGGCGTGCAGGCTGATCCTGCCCAGGCACTCAATGTACCTGTTATTCCTCTAGGATCATTATTGACAGCAGCTTATCCCCTAACATCTAGCCCTCCTTACGTTTTGTCTTGGCTCAATGACATGATATCTGCTGGAGACATGATGGCTCCAGAGTTGTTGAAAAAACTTGTTCAGAACAACTTTTGTGAGTATTCACATGAATTTACCGATTGCTTTTGTTGTTGAGCTCATATATTATTGGCAAAATTCTCAATGCTGTAAAGAAGGCTAGGTACTGGGATTCATATTGGTTGTGAAGGGAATGCAAATTGGTTAGATATCAAAACACTAATTAGTGGTTTGAATCTCTTGGTAAGATGAATGCAATTTTTAGTTTTGTAAGATACAGACTGATTAGAAATGAAACTTGATTTTATGACAAGGTATGGAAGAATAATCTTTGGAGACGTTTCTTGAAAAATTCCAAATTAGCTTTCAATGGTTACATTTTCGAGAACTTATTTCTCTTGTCTGATAAAGTTTTGTCTTATTATGTTAGAAGTTGATCACCGCTTATTGATCTGCAAAATGAAAACTGGTTTGATAGTTTTTATTTCTCACGGTCATAGTTTTTTTTTGTATGAAGAGTTTTGTTTAAATCATTTGACAGATAATGTTAGCCGACCCCAAACTCTTTAGGGATTAAGGCTTGGATGTTGTTGTATTTGACAGATAATCCTGGCTCAAAGAAATAGTAAGTAATTTAACTTTAATGCAAGTGTAGAGTAAGCTGCTATGGGAGAGCACCAAGCTTTTGATGTGGATGCGCTACAACTACCTTCTTTTGAGTAGAATATATATTTAAACTTGATTTCACCCAAGTCATACCATCATATGATAAACTGAGCTCCTTATCCTACAAAAGTTGGCTGATAGACACCATTTGCAGGTACCATTCCAGCTAAACTTTTAATACAGCTCACAACAGCTTTTCGAGAAGGTGGACTCCGTGATAGAAGTGGTACATTTATCTACAAGGATCACCTTCACAAAATCAATGTTCCAGTCTTAGCTCTTGCAGGAGACCGCGACTTGATTTGTCCACCTGAAGCTGTTTATGGTATGTTCTCAAGTTGTTGAATCATTACAAAAAGGGAGGAGGTTAACACATTTCTTTATTTTATATTTTATTTTATTGATGACATGAACAGAAACTGTAAAGGCTATTCCCGAGCACTTGGTCACCTATAAACTATTTGGGGAGCCCGATGGTCCACATTATGCTCATTATGACTTGGTAGGATGCCGAGTGGTACGCGCATTTCAACCTTCAATAATTATTAGATAATGTACACTGTAAGAAAATATATACATATAATTGGGACATCTGGGTGTATGAATTTAAATTTGGAAAACTGTCAAATAAGTCCTTCTATAGGAGGTTCTGTCCGGCCGTCGCGATTTGGGGCAGTTTCCGGTGGAATTTTTTGATGAAATTTTTTGAGCATCTTATTCACCAAGTCTAGTTTACTCATACCAAATTTCAGTTAAAAATTCAATCGAGAACACATTCAAATTAATTCTTGAAGATAACTGCGCATTTTTGCGTTCTCGAATTAATTTGAATGCGCTCCCAATTAAATTTTTAGCTGAAATTCGGTATGAGTAAACTAGACTTGATGAATAAGATGCTCAAAAAATTTCATCAAAAAATTCCACCGGGAACCGCCCCAAATCGAGACGACCGGACAGAGTGTCCTATAGAAGGATTTAATTGACTTTTTTATGAAAGTTCGAGGACCTATTTGACAGTTTTCCCATTTAAATTTATTAGTTTAACTTGACTAGTTGTGTTTTGAAATTTTCTTTCCTGAACAAATATAGATTTATTATGGGCATACCCTAACTTATGTTGCATAGTTGTGATATTGATAACCTTCGATAATTTGGGGAAATAGCAGGTTTGTCCCTGGATATGTGGGTCTAAATCTCATCCCAATGTCACATGAGGTTGCAAAAATAGTCCTGATTATTCACCATCGTGATTTTATCGGTATCCCTTTAGTGCTTGTCATTACGAGCTATTTGAGTATGAAAATTTCAACTTGTGTGGCTTTGATACTCGTATCCTGGGTAATGCAGCAGACCGAGACTCTATGTCGGATTGATAAGGGAAAATATTCAAATGCTGAGAAATGAAGTGTACTTGGATTGCATGAGAATGACCATTTGAGAACACGAGTGTATATATTTAAATGCTAAGAAAATATTATACACACACACACACACCAGGGGGTCGGGGGCGGGGGCGAGTAAAAAAGGCTGAAACTGCCTCCATGGAGTTTCGAGCCCAAAACGAGTCGGCGACCGGTTGAGTTGGACCGCTTCCTCAGAAAATATTAAATATTATGGTGCAGTTCCAATAAAATCCGTCTTCCTGCGTGAAATGCGAGCACCCACGTTTTACTCAATTTGATGCACTGTGGAGCTCATTGGTGCACCTTTTGAACTTTAGTCCAACCATGCGAACAATATAATAATACATCAAATAAAACGCGGTGGCAGTTGGGTAAACGAAACAAAGTATTCTGCCAGTAGAAAAAAGTTACTAGCTTTATGTAACTATGGATGGAATCTACCTTTGGTGCATACCATAGTGACTAAAAGTGTACTATTTTTACACTTAAAATTCATTTAGAATACACTAAATGTGTGACAACTCGGTTATGTTTCTGTTTATTGCAGGCTGCTGAACAAATATATCCTTGCATTATCCAATATCTATGCCATCATGATGTCTGGCTGGAATAATGAGGATGCCTGTTGTTTTGCTTGCTTCTAATATGGTACTCCGTATATGTTTTTTTCCCTATCATCTTGCATTCTTAGAGTATCCGACAACATTATATGTTGTCTTAAATGGTAATTGTCATTTAACAAAATAACTTGCTATAGCAAGTTAAAATGGCAAATTGCTTTCTTTTATTGAAAGAAAGCAATTTAGTTAAACAGACAACTAATTTGAAATTTAGTTAAATAGAAGCTTCTACTATTTCCAATTCATCACTCAAGTCCCTATACTAAAAAAAGTATCATATAAATATATAAGTATGTTTACTTTACAAATATGGTCAATCAAGTCATTCTAACTTTCTAAGCAAGTTATTTTGTTAAAAAAATCAACTAAAACAATTGATAAATCTTATAAAAATTATACGTAGTATACATTTGAAAAATGATGTAATAATAATATAAAAATAGAGTTTTTCCATTTGCGGTCCCCCGACTATTGTGTCATTGACATTTTTTGTACTCGACTTTCAATTTGTCCAATTTTAGTCCTCAACTATTGTGTTAGAGACACCTTTAGTCCTCGCCTTCAAAGTTTTCCACATTTAGTTCCTTGGGTACTATAAATTTGACACTTTTAGTCCTTTCACTATAATATTGACACAATAAGTGGAGGACTAAAAATGTCATTATTATAATAGTTGAAGGACCAAATGTGTCACTTTTATGAAAGTTGGAGGACTAAATATGGAAATTTTTAAAGATGGGTGAAGTGTTTCTAGTGCAATAGTTGAGCACTAAAAGTAGAAAAAATCAAAGTCGAGTACCAAGTGTCAATCAAATAATAGTCGGGGGACTAAAAGTGGCAAAAACTCTATAAAAATAGAATAAATTCGTAAATAGATGAATAATGTAAAACGTTGAAATAAAAAATAAAGTCAGAAAAATGGGAAAAAAATTGAAAGTGTAATAAATATGATAGTACAAAATTAAAATGCAATAAAATTTAAAAGATGTAGAATATATAAATAATAAATAATGCCGAAAATGCAAATTAATGGACTGTGAGTCTGTGACATTCTTAAATTATCCACAACTTTTATTTATATTTCTTCGAATTTTAACATTTTTTTAGTTTTCTATTATAAAAGCCCCGCTATTATAGGTCAAATACCGGTTAAAAGCCCTCACTGGTCAATTTGTTTAAGTGTACTTGTATGATATTATTTGGTATAGAGGCGTAAGTGATAGATTGGAAATAGAAGAAAGGTTTATTTGACCCTTTCACAACCTTGGACAAAAAACATTTTTTTAGGATGGGTGGAGTACAAACGTTTGTCACCTTGCTATGTTATAATGCTCAATTAGTTTTGTTCTCATTGTAGGGTGTATGAGGATACAACTTCACCAAGCAAATAGTTACAGTGGAATTTGAAATGTCACCTTTTATGCCCTGTTTACCTGTTTGGAGTTGATTAGTCATCTCCATTTCACCATGCTTTTTGCACACAGCGTATCTGTGTTTTCAGTTTAAGTTGAAAGAAGTTATACATATAGTTTAATACCGAAGAAATACCTTTGAATGTATATATGACTATATTAAGCATTACCTTTGAATTTTCATTACTACAGGCTTGAATGTATATATGACTATATTAGGCAATACCTTTGAATTTTCATGTTGAATATGCGAAGTTTCTCTGAGTTAAAATTTGAGATTATCTACTTACTTTTCATTGATGAGGTAAATATATTTTGTGCAAGGGTAAAGCAAGTTTACCAATGTCATGGAGATGGTGATTTTGGTTTTCCTTGTAGCAATACTTATTTGAAAAAAGCATGAGCGGTGTGGCTCGCTTGTTTGGCCATTCACCCTCAAGTCTCCTCTGTGTGAGAGGTGTTGGGATCAACTCCTATCAACAGAAATGAGGGAGGTCTTGCATGAAAAATGATGTGTAATTGGTTTGCATGAAAAATGACCATTTTGAGACCGCAAATTAAATAAATAAGAGATGTCACATCTTTCATATTGAATCTAGTCACAACTTGTTCCCTTAACAAGCTAATGTGCGGCTTTAGCTGACACCAGCTTCAAAAGAAGTAATGGATCAATGGGTATTCCCAAATATGGTCAAGAGGTCGTTTGGCAGCACTGTTTTTCGGCTTATCAGGCTTATCAACCAACTTTTTTACCAAACACGTAATTTTTGCTTTCGCGCGCTGAAATGTGTAATAAACAGAAAAAGTAAGGTTGGATTTGATTTTCTGGTTGTATTGACTGAAGTTACTATAGATGACCATTTTAGTTATTTTTTACATATATATTTTTCTTTATTTTATTAATAAAATATATTTTAAAATTAATTTTTTCTTAAATCAGCAGAATCAGCCAATGCAGCCACTTCAGTCAGAACTTCATAAATTTCAGCGGAAACAGCCAAATCAGCCGATTTTTGTGCTACCAAACGGGCTCCAAATCATCAATGTATGAAGTAAATGATTATCATCATCATAAGATTAAGTAAATCAACACCCTTTTCAGCACTAACTACTCTGAGAACTTCTAAAAAAGATTTAAATGCAACATATTAGGGTCGATTGTTGCAAGGGTTAAAAATGGATTACCAGTCACCATTTTCATAAGGATCAAAAGTTTCATCAAAGACGACTGCAAGAGATCACCATTTGAGCTTCCATTGACAATGCAAAATGTGTTTTCCAAGCGGAAGAGGCGCTCCATGGTCACCATCCCATTATCCTTGATCACGTTCTAAATATCTGCTACTGTCTCAATAAGAGACTTGGGCTCTTGCCGGGTTGTATCCGTGACTATGAAAGCGTGGCGCTATTGCTACAAAGCATAATCTCTGTGAAATGGTTGATAGACACACCATTACAAGCACATTTACTTAAGGGGCAGTGGCAGTAGCCACACTCCTTTTTTGTAAGATGCTAAGTGATATCGTTTGGCATTTGTTTTAAAGATAAATCTTTGACACGAGTTGAGAATCAAACGTTCGTGTTCTGAAAAATACAAATTAAAATCGAAATACAAAATGTTTGATCGTGTTTCGAATGAGGCACTCTCACACCGGTAGGAAAAAAGGAAGGGCGTAAATGGATTACTTTCTAGTAAATTTCTATAAATATGCTGATATATTTCGTTCATTTTTTATCAACCAAATAAAGTAAAGATCATGTCATTGAAGTTTATGTAGATGAAAAAGAAATAATACTTCGGAAAAAAGGAAACGTTTTGTGGTATACTACAGCCACATTTTGTGGTATATTTCTACAAATTAATTAGTTAAAAGGAAAAATGGTATACTATAGACACTCGCCCTCCTCCGGAGTCCGGAACCATCTCCATGCGAGGAAGCAATTTGGGGAATTTTTTTTTATTTTCGTAATGTTTTTCCTTTCGTAGTACTTATTTTTTGTTTAAGTTCGAGCAACTATAGTCGAAGTATTTTGATTTTTGAAAAACTTTGGATAGTTTAAGGCTTCTTCTTGCCCGTTTTGTGTCTAGCGAGTCAGGTTGCTTAGTTTGGGTGGCTGACTCTAATTCTATTTCTAAGGCTTACGATTGGGTCTGTAATAGCTGTTTGGATTTTGTCTTGCATGTTTGCTTTACATGAATGAAAAGTCGTTTTGATGATAAAAAAAAAGGGAACATGGTAAATTTTTTTGGGCGGTCCAATCTAGGTCAAACTGTTGCTAAACTTGAAAAGTATCCATAATATCTAAGGTTATGAAAATCAAGGACCGGAACAAAGTTCATTGTATTCAGTCGAAATTGGATTTTTGATAGACTGGAGTCAGGTAGGGCATGGCCCAAAGTCCAAACGAAAAATCATCATATTTAGATGAACCCACATTGGGAGAAGGGCCAAAAATGACACTAACGTTTTTAATGAATCTCGAATCGGACACTTAGGTTTTTAGTAGACCAAATAAACACATATTAAAGCTTTTGCCTTGATTTTTAGCCATCCATTAACTTTCCCGTTAAACGGGCGTTTCCCTGCAAGACGCCTTTTCCCTGTTATTAGACCACACCCCCAATAAACATGTGCAAAGGTAGAGGCAACTGGACAAGAATACCATGGATGGATGGATGGATTATCGTTGAATCTGGATATATGCTTTAGAACTTCCTCTTCTGTTGAATCTTCATGTAACAGCACCTCATAGGAACTGAACCCCACATCTTGACATGCCTTTTTCTGGTTGCGAACATAAGTTGCAGAATCCTTCCTGTCGCCAACCAGAATGACTGCCAGACCAGGAATGAGCCCTATAGAATCTTCATCTTAGTTATCTCAGCACTAATTTCGTCTCTGATTTCTTTTGAAACTTTCTTGCCGTCAATAATAATGGAAGTGAACTCCAAAGTAAATGAGGTTGCTGTGGCTACAGAAGAGCAACACAAAGCTGCGGTGGTGGTAGCGGAGTTCGAAGCGAAATAAGAAGAATCTATGCAAGTGGTGGTGATCGATGGTCCTCCGGCGAGATACAGAGCCCATCGAGAAATGAAGGTGGTCGGGCTGAAGGAAGCGAGCTGTGGTGGTTGAAGAAGACGAAGAGGAGTCGGCGGTGACTGTCTCTTTCCTAATAAGCGCCGCCAGGATGAGATCTTCGACGCGGCCGTTCTGATTACCACTCTCCGCCAGCACTGGCCGTCTCCCTTGCTGCCCGGCGACTGCCGTCTTTCAGTTTTCCTTCGCCTTTAGGTTGTGTTGTTTAGTCGCAGGAATGGCGTTTGTTAGCAGGGGAAATGTCCGTTTAACGGGAAAGTTAGTGGATGGCTAAAAATCAACCCAAAAGCTTCAATATGTGTTAATTTGGTCTAGTAACAACCTAAGTGTCACATTCGAGTTTCATTAAAAACGTTAGTGTCATTTTTGGTCCTTATCCCAACCCACATTTGACTAAGCTAGTTCACCTGTTTTCCAAATGGAAAAACATAATATATATGGTATTACATTTTGTTTAAATTTTGATAATATTTTTATAGAAATTGATAGATTAAAATAATATTTTGTTTGCATATGTAAAATTTTCAAATCTGTGTAACATCCATTACTCCTAACTAGGAGTACCGTTCTAAAAATCGGTTTAATTGGACCGATTAATCGGCGCCGAGGCACTAGGCGGTCCTAATTGTAGAGGACTAATCGGTTCAGTTGGCTAAATAATTGGCCTAGTCACCCGCCTAGTCGGTGCCTAGGTGTCGGGCGTCCCTAAACCGCCTGACTAGCGCCTATTAAGTTTGTACGTTTGTGCGCAGTACATCCGACCCCGTTACACCATCGCAAGTGTGAGAACCTTTGCGGCACTAATGTAATAATGAATTAATGATGAGCAAGTCAATCATATTAATTATTAAACATTACTCCCTCCGTCCCAATTTGATGATCCCGTATTTCCTTTCTGGGCCGTCCCAAATCGATAGTTCCATTTCCCTTTTTGGAAAGAAATATGTGGTCCACATCATTTCACCTTTTTATACTCAAATCTCAACCACAACTTTTACCTTTTCAACCACTTTCTTAATATTTGAGCCCAAAAGAAATGGGATCATCAAATTGGGACGGAGAGAGTATTTCATGAAGATCTTTTACATATGCTACGTAAAATTTTCTCAAGATTTTACCAAATTTGAGATTCATTCCTAAATCCTAGTTCCAAATGTGCACTTCGTTTGTCCAATAATTTTCTTCTTTTTTTCGGATATCCTGATTTTTTCACATTTCCCTTTAAGAAATGGACTGTAGCTTATATTATTCAATCTTTTTTACACATAATACTTTAACTAAACATTTTAACTTTATTAATAAGCATAATAATTCAAAGCGAGAATTCTTTTGGGTACGAATAAATATTAAATAAATTATTTTAAAAAGAATTGACTAAGTTATTTCTAAAACATGTGAGAACAGCAGGTTGAGTTTATGTAATACGGAGTAATTGGGTCACTGCGAAATGGTTGGGTGGTATTGGTATGTTTGACAAAGTAAAAAAGATTGTGGATATGATAGGCCGATAGGGACAACAACTTAATAAGAAAGGAGAATAGACATGAAGAAAAAACAATTTATCTCACCAATTTCTTGCAAAATACTTTGGATAAAGACAGTACGAAACAATGCCATAAGTTTATGTTTACCTTTACTGTGGCAATAATAAAACCATCCAGACAAAGAATCTTTGCCCTTTCAAAAATCTCTAGACAAATTGCTGTATTATTATGACTTGCTTTAAGCCTTTAACCCTAGAAAAAAGTTTATCAAATACCCCTTTAATTTATTACTTCCTGAACTTCGTAGTTTAAATACCACACTTTAACAAGATGTTTTTCTTTGATTTCTGGAAATATCATTTTTACCAATGGTAAATATTAACGTAAAATAGTCTGTTTTGACACCGTTTGATTAAAGAAATCTCGAGAGTACAATTATTATTACTTGTGTGTAATAAAGAAATTGATTAAGGGAAAATTTTTGTGTTTACCCACATTAAAATGTTGATCTCGTGTTTTAGAGTTTGTAAATGTCACCTTTCATTTGTCCGAGGTGTTGCAAATGTGGTCCTCGCCGTGATTTTTTTCAAAAGTTATAAAAGTTAACGGTGTTACTTTAGTTTTGACAGTGTGGACCACATTTACAACAACTTCGACAATTGAAATGTGACATTTACGACCATAACTCTAACAAGGTCAACACAAAAGTCTATGATTGATGTCACATGGTACAATTTTTTTCTTACTTTTGTGTAAGGTACAGCTCTTACAAATCATAAATCAAAATTTATTGATTGGTTTTACCAAGTTTAATTATGATGTGTACCTTTTTCTTTATTTCGACAGGGAGACATAGAAGAACAAAAAAACACAAACAAGCAGACTAAGCCTAACTTCCCTGCCTCATTCATACATTTGCCAAAGATGTAGTAGCGAAGGGAAGCAAAATGCAGACCTGCTTTGGTTGCAGCATCTCAGCCCATCCCTTGTTCTTTTGTTCCTTCTCAGCCCAGCCCACTTAAATCTGGCATGTTATCCCATGGCAGAAATGCATAACTCCTAGCAACTCCAATTCCCCTTCATCATTGATTAGTGATGGGAAAATTAGCCCTTCTTGTCTTCCATGTCCCCTTTCTTTTCAACTGACAGTTAAAATTCACATCTAATTTCTTCTCCATGTTTTTTTAACTTGTTGAAAAGTTTATGCCTAGCTGTATATTATATATATGTTGCACCATGTTTTATGTGTGTGTATACAAATTAAATTAATACTTTGTTGAGAGAGAAATAGAATATTAGTGTTTGGACTTTGGAAGTATAGTTCAATGGAGTCCAGCAGTACAGCTAGAAATCTTCTAAGGTTTGCAGCTTTTTCACCAGCTTACTATCAAGGGAGGAAGGAAGATAATAGCAGCAGAAACATCATTGATTTGGGATTAAGCCTTGGGGTTATGAACAACCATGAGGAGACTAATTACCATAATCCATCTCCATGTGGTAAGGAAGGTTACATATACTCATCAGTTTGAATATTATTTCATTAGTCAGCAGGAAAATAAGTTAAGTTGGCCAAATAGTTGTGTGTAATTGTAGTTTAAAATTAGATCAATCCATGTTCTGAGAATGTGAGAGTAATGTTTAAGAAAAAGAACGGTCACTTATACATACCAGAGGTATTATATTTTTGTTAAATTGATATTATCCGTTAACCATTTCATCAACATTTAATTACACCAAACTTTACTTATACACGATTCAGTTTTATACTAGATCAGATTTAATTTAACAAACTAAATCAAATTAGAAAATTTGAGTTGAAAACATATTTAGCCTTCAATATATTTTGTGAGATTATCCCACCTTTTGTATTTTCAATAGGGCCCATATATCCTATTTGGGTCTGCCATAAGAGAGTTGTCGGACGAATGGGGAAGACTTAGAAGTGCCACATCTCACATGAGATGGTATCTATAGCGGGCTCCACAATGACCATGAGTTTAATAGTTATATCTATAGAATAAAAAAAACTCTGATGATAAATGGAAGAAAGTATTCAAGGGTGTTTTAATGAGGTTTGTGTAGTTCTACACAAGTACATATAGCGTACATATTTAGCCAAACACTATTTTCAAATCAAAGTTGTTCAACTTTGACCGATTATATATTTATATATGGTAATATTGATAATATGCAAATTATATGAAAATGTTCTTTGTTGAAAATACTATCATAAAACTATAAATCTATTAACTTCTACATAAATATATTAATTAGTTAAAATAATAGAACAAAATTTATTATCTTTGATTGGAAAAGTCAAAGTTGACTAAATAAAAAGGGACGGAGGTAGTATAATATAGCCAAATCAGAGGCAACAAAGGAATATTGAGAAAAATGGGTAAAAAAGGTTTATATTAAATGACTTATCCCTTTGGGGACATCGGATAAAATTGAAACTATACAAAGAAGATTAGCATTGCCCTTGCGCAAGGATGACATATAAAAAATTTTATATGACTTTTTACATAAACATTTTTATATCCAATTTGTGGTGGATCGAAACTGACATGGCTCCTCTTTAACTATGCCCAAAGATGAAATTATGTTACGTTTTCAAGATATATACTAGTCTTTATAATGATGGCCATATTTCCAAAATATGTTACAACATAGTCTTATTAAGGGAATTTTCTTATAATATATTGCAGAAAATAGCTACGAAGAGCTGATAGATTGGCAAGATTTGCACCCACAGCCAGGGAATAGAAGAATTAAGGGAAGGAGTGTGCATTTAAGAAAGTACTCATCAGCAGAGAGCTGTGATGAAGAAGATGATGATGAAGTGATTGAAAGCAAAGAGAAGAGATGGGCTTATGTGAAAGTCAACATGGATGGAGTCGTCGTTGGAAGGAAAATTTGCCTTCTTCATCATTTCAGTTACCACACTCTTGCTCTTCAGCTAGAAGACATGTTCGGTATGTTTCAAATGTTTCTACATTTTTCCATCACAAAATTAAGCCCATTTCAATTTTTGTGATAAATTATGGGGCTTTCTCTGATAAATATGTGATTAAGTTTATAAATAGTTAAAAAACAAACAGAAAAGATTGGGATGGACAGATTATTGGTTCGCGATAAAAACTTATGGGGTGTTCGCGAAAAAGAAGAAGCAGAATCGTAATCAGTTTTCAGAAGCAGGTGTCCCTCCAACTTCTAAAAAATTGCTTCTAAGAGCAATTTAGAGCACCCAGAAGTCTGCACCTTCAACCAAACACTCCAATATTTAATTCTGCTCCTTGAACGGGGAGAAACAGTTTTAAGAATCAGATCCAAACACTCTCCTAATCCTATTTTGAGTTTTTATAATTAATAAAAGTTATCCTATTTTAGTCAAATGAAAATCTAGAGGTTGATTAGTGTCATTCCTTCATCAATTATGAGTGGTTGACTTCCATTTAAGTACCCGTTTTAGTGTCATTTATGATCAATTTTTGACTAGATATACGATTTCAAAGTACAACAAACCAATGCAAAAACAACAACAGTTTTTCACAAGTTTAATATCATATCAAATCAATGTTAGGCTTCTCCAATTTAATATCATACGGAGTATCAATTTAATAAAGTTTTACTAAATTATTACTCCCTATTTACTCAGACATATATTTCATCTGTGCTGAAATATCTTTGAATCTTGGATTTATTTTTAATTTGCAGGGAAGCAATCCAAAAGAGGGTTAATAAGGTTATTCGAAGAAGGTTCAGAGTTTTCCCTATTTTATAAGGATGGAGATGACGTGTGGAAGATGGTTGGAGATGTTCCCTGGGAGTAAGTTTTATGCTTTAGGCTGCTACTTTATTTGGTATTTTGTAATATATGAAACAAGCTGTTTAAAGACAAAATTAACAAAATGTTTGAGCGTTAGTGCAAAATATGTTGTAACAATGAATTGATGGTCATTGAAGCAATGAAGCTAGTCATGTAAGAAGTTCTTTTTGGCAATGTAGGCATGGTTTAGTAAAAGTAAAGAATCAGTAAGGTGTATAATTAATTCACTAATGAATTCATGAAAAAAAGCAGTTTAATTGTAAAGACACTATTCAAATTAGAGATATCATACAACTGATGACGCTGAAGAGACCATTTTATTTGATTTTTTTAATGTCAAACTACATTTTCAAAATATTACATTTTACACCCCAAAAAATAGTTTTACAAGTTTATTTTTCTTCATGAACACTATTTTATTTTTCTCTTATGTTGTTTATACGAAGTATATCCAAATTTTATTGTATTTTAATTTAATTTGTGCTACTTCATAGAACTTTCAATGTAGTTTATGAGTTTAAAAATATTGATTATTAAAATGGTTTAACTATTTGGTGTAAAGATTTAACTTTATCATTAGTCAACTTTGAAAGTCACAAACTGCAAATCTATTTAAGATAGAGAAGTAACTGTGTGTTTTACTCCCTAGTCCCTACATTCTTTAGTTGAAACTATTTGTTGATTACTTGATTGAGAAAAAGAGTAATGAGCAAGCTACCAAAAATGTAAGTGGTAGGAGAATGGATGAAAAGTACCATCTCTAGTCAAAAAATAAATGAAATTGTTTAAAATAGAAGTAAATATAATGTGATATTTTCAAATAGGAATACTACATATGTTTTTAAATAATTTAAATAAGAATACTTCCATTGAGGAACAAGACTACTAGATTATGATAGTAATATTGTCATATTAATGGCTTATAATATCATATGACAATTTCATTTCAACATAACAATAGTTTACTTCATTTCACGAATATAACATTATAACATGAATTTAGTGGGTTAAAATAGTTTCTCATGAATTTGGGTTGACTATGAACAGGGATTTCGTGGATGCCGTGAAGCGACTGCGAATTGTGAGGAAGAAGCAACCATCCCCTTTTTATCAATGTTATAATTTTCCAAATTAGACTAAAAAAGAAAAGAAAAACAGAGAGTGATCAATTTTCTGAGATGACCTTTAAGTTTACAATGTTTCTCAAAAATGATCTTTTCGATCTATTAATTTTGACAATCTCGATAAGCTAAATTAGATAACACTAATTATTTTTGGAGGAATAGTTATTTTGAGATGTACCAAGAGTCTAAGGTTGTAATTCTTCCCAAAAATGTAAGTCTAATTGACACATTTAGCTTTTATTGCTCAAATATTTTTTTCATTTGTAACACTAAGAACTAAGAAGTTCTTGTATTGTGACAAAGAATCGATGTTCCAATTTTTACTTGATCGATGTGTGCTCCACAAAAATGACAAAATATGCGAGTAATGACAAATGTAAACTAACATTTCTATTAAATTCATTAATATAAATTCAATAGATACTTCTCAAAACCATTTTACGTATTTTGGAATCACTATTATGTATTCTCTATGCCGAGGATGTTCCATATTATTTTTCTATAACATTCACAATATTTGATATATCATAAAATTAATTCTTCTCAATTAAACATTTGTTTGTGACTATAAATAGCATTTTCCCCCTTCGGGAAAGGGATCACTAATTCATTGGACAATTATTCTGTTAGGTGTGTATTTCACCTCAGGTCTCTTACCAAACACAACTTACACACACCACCCCAGGATGTTTAGCCACTCCCCCACTCACCAAGTTTAGCCACACTCTTTTTCACCTCTCAAGCTCACACAAAGGAGGACAAAGAAAGGACTATACTCTATCTCTCTGGTTACTCACACAAAGGAGGAGATAAACTCTCAATACCTACCGCCCACTAGTTTCACGCCTCACTCACACAAAGGAGGAAGTAGACTCTCTCATACTCACTGGCCACAAATATATGGAACTCAAAAAGATGCTTTCCTAATCAAGTGAGTCACGGGTCTAAGAAAGACAAAACAAGGGGAGCCCAAACATAAGGCAGCAGATAGGATAGCAACGGGCAAGACATAACAAGGCCGTGTGATTAGGTAGTGAACAAACCCAAGAGGAAATAATAGGAGTACGGCTAAGCTTAGGGTGCAGGCCTTAACACGAATAAGTGGAAGTGAGGCCTTGGTAGGACCAATACTTCCAACATTCTCCACCTTATTGGTCCTAGGTGGTGTAGAGTAACAAATACACGGTTATGAGGAGACTCATCATTGCGATCATACAAGTAATAGATGAGAACCAAAGTTCCCTTTCGGACCAAGCTTACCATGCAAACCCAATTCACGATGGACTGAACTCTACCAATCGGTCCTGGAGTTCAGAACCAAAACCATCACAAAACTATTAACAAGCACAACACATGTTAATATACCACGCAAGCAAGCATCCGGGAGAAGTTGGGGATCCCAACTAATCCAACAACCACATAAGGCAAGTACAAAGAAAATAAAAGAAACAATATTATTTCTATAACTAGCACAGACAGAGCTCACATAATCATTTGGTATCACATTTTCAAAACACAAAGAAAATAGCATACCAAACATCACAAAGAATTTAATTAGAAGAGAATTAAGCACATTTAAAGCAAACTCAGAAGAAATATAGTCAAACACTTTGCACATATCATTTCTCTCATGCTTCCTAATATCTCTATCTCTAATAACATGGCAATCACGCAACTCAAGCATATTGCACACAACATTCATATCATGATCCACCTTAATAGAAATATTATTTTCTTTATTTTCACCATGAAAAACATTTTCATTCACAAATTTGGGTTTGGTTTCAACAAGTAAATCAGAATGAGATTCAACAGGCAAATGCTCCACCTCGATCATTTGGAGCAACATCAGGAGAAACAAGCAGGCAAGGAAATTCATTTTCAACAAAAATGACATTTCTACTCATCAACACATCGAAGCAAATTTCACTCCTACACCAAAGCCTATAACCTTTCATGCAATCATGATATCCTAAGAAAACATATTCCTTAGTCCTAGGTTCAGATTTATCATTCACACGATTCACATAAGCAACACAATCAAACACTCTCAAATTTGGCAAGTCAAGCGGTTTGCCCATGAACACAGATTCAGGGCATTTCCCTCCTAATGGAACAGACGGGGACAAATTAACCAAATCAACAGCATAACAAATAGCTTCCCCCCAGAACTTATTAGAGAGCCCAGATGAAGCTAACATAGCTCTCACCCTCTCTAATAAAGTTCTAACCATCCTCTCAGCAACCCCATCCGGTTGGGGTGTGGAGGGAACATATTTATGCATAGATATACCCCAAGTATCACATAAATCACCAAGCTGATCATCACAGAAATCAAAACTGACAGTGGTCCTTAAAAAATTTATTTTCTTACCGGTTTGTTTTTCAACAAGGGTTTTCCAGTTTTTAAACTTATCAAAAACTTCAGATTTATTCTCAATCAACAAAACCCACACTTTCTTTGAAAAATCATCAATCAACGTCAAAAAATAATTTTTCCCACCATGAGTGGAAACACTATAAGGACCCCACAAGTCAGCATGAATACAATCAAGCACATTAGTACACTTAGGCATATCAGGAAAACCAACTCTAGACTGTTTTCCTAGCACACAGGGTTGCACACAATTCACAGAATCAAGTATGGGTTCAGCATGACAAACATACAAGTTGTTTTTCATCTCAGCTTTGAGAACAACTAAACAACCCTTCACAACTTTCATGATTCCCTTTCCCCATTTTCCCTTCAAACCCTCATTTTCAAGAGAAGCACAAGATAGCAAATTACAGTACAACTCAGGAACATGCCTAACATTCTTCAAAGTAAGCACATAACCAGAAGAAAACTTAAGGCATACATCTCCTATTCCTAACACATTGCATTTCTTCTCATTTGCTAAAGACACAAAGCCATGCTCAATCTCTCTATAGTTTGAAAAACATTTTTCAAAGGGGACATATGAAAAGTACAACCAGAATCTACCACCCAATCTGATTTACCCAAAGAATCAGATATCACAGAACTCAAATAGTCATAATCACATAGATTTTTCATCATAAAAACATCACCTAAATCATCTTCACATGTAGTCAAATTTACATGCTCACTATGCTCATTTTTCCTAGATTTAGGACAGTCTCTTATGAAATGACCAGGTTCATGACAATAATAGCAACGCCTCGAATTAGACCTAGACTTAGATCTATGTCGTCTACTACTATTTTCTCTACCCCTCACATGCATAACTTCCTCGGATTTTCTACCCTCACCCATCTGTTTTAAATCTAATTCCTTACTCTTAAGACCATTTACCACAATGTCAAGAGTCACTTTATCTCTACCATACTTAATAGCAGATTTCACATCACTAAAGGAATCAGGAATATCATTTAAAAGAGCAATGGGGGAATAATCATCTATATGCTTATCACCACACAACTTAATATCCGAAATAAGTTTGGTAAAAACATCTAGATTTTCTTCAATATCCATAGACATATCTAGTCTAAATTTGAAGAACTTTTCAAGTAAAAATATCCGGTTAGGCAAAGAGGTCTCAGTATACAGTTCATTCAATTTATCCCACAGAATTTTAGCACTCTCTAAAATTCCAACTTTTCTAATCACAGAGTCAGATAAGTTCAAATAAATCACAGAACATGCATTTTCATTCATTTCAGCCCTTTTATCTTCCGTGTCAGAAATTAAGTAGGTTTCGCCAACTGCTTTAAAACATTTTTGTTGTATTAAAATACATTTAATTTTTTGCTTCCAAATGCTAAAATCAGATTTTCCATTAAATGGAGCCATACCGTACTGATTATAAGCAGACATTTTCACAGAGAAAAATAAGCAACAAAAGAAAATGTAAATTTCGCTGAAAACAATTTAAATATTTATAAGGCTACAACTATACGGAGCAACTAGCACGAACACGCGGGGAGTATTAATTAGCACCAAACTCAACTTCAAACCCCTTGTTCTTCCGTATAAGCACAAATAAATAATAAATTTTTAGCACAAACACAATACAACAATTCAATCAATTTTAACCGCAGTAATAAACCTAAAACAGATTTCTACACAATTAAAGACTAAAAAATCACTACAAAAGCGATAAAAGGGTTTAAAGTCAATATACCAGAGCGAAACCCTAGGACAGGCGTTTCGACCTTACCCACCCAATTTAAAAAAAATGGGATTTTTCGTAAGTTGACTGACTTTGACTGGCACTCTGACCGTTGACTAGCTTTGACCAGGAGTTGACAAGCCCTATGTCCCGCAGTCCAAAGAATAGTAGTACAGTAGCTCCAGCAGCCTGGTTTCAGCCTCCCTTCAGCAATCCAGCAGCTCTAGGAGCCCAATTGCATCGGCCCAGAAGCACAGGGGGCCCAAAATGTAGAACCTGCCCCCAGCCCAAGGAACTAAAATCCGAGTGTCACACGCTTCGTCTTTGTCTCCAGCTTCTGCGCGATGAAGAGTATCCGGCGACCCTCTGCTTTCTGCGACCAGCTACAAACGGCGACCGGCGGCGAGCTCTGGTAGTGACGGGGTCGAGCTATCTCCAGCGACGACTCTCAGGCTTCAGCGGACAGCATCAGGCACAATCGTCCAGCGACGGCAGCAGGGGTGGAGACAGGGAGGGGCTGGAGGGGGCCACGGCCCCTGCAAGAAAAAAATTCTTAAGTATATATTATGTATAAATACTTTTAATCTATAGAAAATATGTTGATATTTTAAACTTTGGCCCCTGCAATGTAAAATTTTTAAAGACCGGCCCCTTCAACCATAGATTTCTGGTTCCGCCACTGGACGGCAGATTCCGGCGAATGACCTCCTGACACGCAACGGCTTCAGCAGCGACCTCAACGGCGGGCGGCGACACTCTCAGGCAGCGGGTGTCCAGTTTGCAGAGCTCAGCGATTGCCGACAAGTATATCCAGACAGCGTCCCAGTGACGGCTAACTCCGGCGAGTTGGGCCTGGATGAGGTGCGAGCAGAGCTCCAGAGACTCCCGACGAGCACCCCCCTGCGACGGCAAGCTTACAGCAGCTACCAGGTCAGGCGAAGCTTGAGCGGGTGTCCAGGGACCTCCAGGACCTCGAATCGACGGACGGCTGCGTACGGCGGCGGACGGCGGCGGAGGGTAGAATCCAGCTCTGATACCACTATTAGGTGTGTATTTCAGCTCAGGTCTCCAACCAAAACAACTCACACACACCACCCCAGGATGTTTAGCCACTCCACCACTCACCAAGTTTAGCCACACTCTTTTTCACCTCTCAAGCTCACACAAAGGAGGACAAAGAAAGAA